TAACCAATATAAAATCATATTATCATTAAGTGAGAAAATTTTCGGTTAAATTATCAATTCATAATTTATATAATGAATAAAACATTTTCATAAAAAAAATATAATGAATAAAACATAACAATCAACACATAGTTATAGTTGACCATTAACTTAAATACATGCAACTAAGACAATTATCTTACGGTTAGTATAGAAGTATCCACCTAAGAAAAATTTATCACAATGATATGGGTTAATGAATTGTTGTGTTTGTTTGAATTGACTTAGTCTTTTAGTAATTTTCATAGGTTGAAAAGGACTTTGCTTTCAAGTTTTCATCCAACATAATGTGTGAGATTTATCCAAATTAGGCGTTCATATGTTGTGGTCTACACTCTACATATACAAATATACATTATAGGAACAATATCAAGCTTTATATTTTATGAGTCTAAAAGGATGAACGTTTAACTCTTGAGTGGTTATTCAAAGTATTAAGTATGTGTATATATTAGATATATGACTAATTATTTATCTGGGTTAATTTTGTTTGGCTGGTTAGGAGTGCCTGAAACCAAACCAAACCACCTAAACCAAACAAGCTAAAAGCTTTAACCAAACCAAACCAAATTATCCAAATAGTACTGGTTAAAACGGTTATCATGGTAACCACACCGTTTGAAAACCCTACCAAAGAGGAGCAAGGATTGGAACTTAACTAAGGTTCGTTTGGAAGTTGCGAATGTTAAATTGTTGCATTATAATGAATCACAACAAAATAAATGCATGTATTGATACAATGGATACATTTTAATAAGGGTTAATACCTTATTTTGGCCCGAACTATGACCATATAATCAACTTTGGCCCGTGGTTTCAGAAATTAACATCCTGGCCTCAACTATGCAGCATATAGACTCAATTGGCCCGACACATAGTTTGACCGTCAATTTGGACGGTCAACTCCGTTGATCGTTAGTTAACACGCCATGTCATTGCCTAGTCAACCTAAAAATCATTAAAAAAATTATTTATTATCAAATTAACCAAAAATAAATTATAACAAAACAAAATTATTTCTTTTTATTTTTTGGATAATTTGAAAATGATAAATTTTATAAATTAACCAAAAATTATCAAATTATTTTATATTTTTAAAACTTCCCAAAAAAATATAATTTATATAATAATTTTTTAATTTTTAAAATTTAATATGATAATTTTGGTTCATTTATAAAATTTTTAATTTTCAAATATTGCAAAAAAAATATTTTATATTTTTAGAATTTTATTTTTTGGTTAATTGGAAAATGATAAATAATAGAAATTAGGAAAATAATTTGAATTTGAATTTTTTTTATGATTTTTATGCTGACTAGGCAACGACATAGCATGTTGACTAACGGTTAACGGAGTTGACCGTCCAAATTTACGGTCAAACTATGTGTCGGGCCAATTGAGTCTATATGCTGCATAGTTGAGGCTAGGATGTTAATTTCTGAAACCACGGGCCAAAGTTGATTATATGGTCATAGTTCGGGCCAAAATAAGGTATTAACCTTTTTAATAATACATTGTTTGATTGTTGAGAGTCTATTTTATGTATTGACGTGCATAAAGTTACTTTATGGAGAAATGTCACATTTATCCTCAATTTTTTAGTATAAGACAAAAAATAATAGGGATATAAATGGAAAGAAAAAGTGGACACAAATCTACAATCAACAATCACAACAATCTCAACTTTTAGTTTTTTTTTTACAAAAGATAATCATATATTGATAGAAGAAATAGATATTTACATCCTGGAATTAAGCCAGGTCTGAAAATCAAAACATGGACTCATAGTCGGGTACAAAGAAAAGGCATTTCTAGCCACCATATGGGCTACCATATTGTTACACCGACCTACAAATCGAATAGTAAAACCAGAATGGGACTGAAAATAATATACTATCTCCTCAAGAATAGTCCCCACCCGGTTATCTCTAGTATCTTCCTTGTTGACTTTCTCAATGAGCACCTTCGCATCCCCCTCAAACCTGACGTCCGAGAAGCCGAGCTCAAGACACCATACGATAGCTTCCCTGAGTACTAGCAATTCCACTATCATGGGGTCATCAATCGCCTAGAACTGAACTCCCTTCTCCAAGAGGAGCACTCTTGCTGGGTTCAGGAGAATCATCCCACCGGCCGAATGAGACCCACTTCTTGTGGCCCCATCCCACATACAAACCACCCTGTTATCCCCAATAGGACTCAAATGGGCCGTAGCTGGCAAAACCGACATCGGTGCCAGGCCTGTGGACAGACTAACCCACTCCGCATACTGCTGGTGAAATTGACGCATCAAGGCATGGATCCCGAACTGCTTTCCCTCAAAGACAACCCAATTCCGAGATCGTCAAATCCGCCACAAGATGGCCACCACAGCCATGAACAACAATGGGTTATGAATCAAAGCCAACAGTCTCTTCAGAAACAGAGGGAAGGTATGCCGAGGTAATCCCTCCCAGAGATACTCCAGACCCGAATAGTCCCAGAGGGCTCGGGCCACTGGGCAGTAGAGAAAGAGATGCTCCAAAATCTCTTCGCCCTCCCAGCAGACCGGTCATCTTGGGTGAACTAGAACCTTCTTCTCAATGAGAGCCTCCATCGTAGGGAGAGCACGGTTAAGGATTTGCCAAACAAAAACTTTTAACTTTGGGGGGATATCCGCGCTCCATAGGCGAATCCAACTGGGTTTATCCATCCAACTAGCCAACGATTTCCACCTACCCCCCCCCCCCTATCCAAGGAGACAGCCAGATGGTAAGCTGACTTGACAGAAAAAATCCTATCCACAGTGTCATGCCAGATCAGTTTGTCCTCCACATCCCTACGCGGCAGTGGGATTGCTTTGATGGCATGACAGGTCGGCGGATCAAACCACTGGCGGAGCTTGAGGTCACACCATTTCCCCTCACCAGGACACAAAACCTCCTCAACCAGCGGGTCACCCTCCTCCGGTAGCACCTGCGGATTGTACCTAGGGGGGTCAAGCTGGAGCTGGGGTATCCAGTTAGAATGGAGCAGGGAGGCAGATCGACCATTCCCAATCTGCCACCGTAAACCCTTCTCTAGCAACTGAGTTGAGATTGTATAATGCATCATTTTTTGTGATTGTTGGACTGCTGGTAGGGGTGGCTATACGGTCTGGTCCGGTTAAATTGGCCCAAATTGATCCGGTCCAGTCCGGTCTTTTTGAAAATATAAGGACCGAAGATTGGATTGGATACAGTCCGGTCTTGATCCGGTCCGGTCCCAATTCGGTCTTGATTTTACATTGAGATTGTGGGATTTGAGTGGCCTAAGGCCTTAAAGGGTGAGGAGTTGTTTAAGTTTTGTACTAAGTGCAAAGGTTTGTGACCGTTTATGCAAATTACCCTTAAGTTTTGGGTGTTGAGCTCTCTTATCCGGTCTTTATCCGGTTTTTTACCTCAAATCTAAGCCCAAAGATTGGATTGGATTGTTTACTATCCAGTCCCGGTCTGGTCTCGGTCCGGGTTATACGGTCCGGTTTCCGGTTTTTAATCCGGTCCCGGTCCAAATAGCCACCCCTAACTGCTGGGACCTACCTAAAACAATACATGCATTGTTTTACACCTTAGCACTTCCAAATATTGTATTGTGCACAATGCATGTATTCAATAAACACAACTCTAACAATCACAACTACCAAACGAATCCTGAGGGTGCAAATTGTTTGATATGTGATTTCGTTGTGGTGATCACTTGCAATTTGTTTGTTTTCCGTTCTTGTATGTCTTTTCTCAGTTTACAACTACAAGCATGCTTATACTACTACGCTACCTCTTCCAAAAAAAATGTGAATGATTGGTGAAGTCTAATCTTTTCATGCAAACCACCCTTAGCCAATTGATCTCTGTTCATGCAACGCAGCCACATCCATATGTCACATATTTGGGGAGTAATTATAGTTTGAGAAGTAAAAACAAAGAAAATATCAAAGCCAATCGAGAAATCATAACCCTTAGGGTTGGAGGTTCGATTATCGGTTGCCAGTTAACTGACCGGTTAAATTGATAACCGGCGGTTACCGGTTAACCGATAATCGAAAATTATATGCTTCGGTCGGTGGTCGGAGCTTCTAATAGGTCATTCGGTTAATCGAGTAACCAAAAACCGGTTATTCGGTTAACCGAAAAATAACCGACCGACCACCCCCCTCACCAAAACGACGTGAAAATACCTGGTTATGAAGTTTATAACTTTATGTTGTTGAATTTGAGACATTAATTTGGTGATTTAGATGTATTTTCTATGTAAAAGTGATTGAGACTTTACTTTGGGTGTGATTTAGATGTAGAAATGTAAGTTAGAACCTTTCATTTTAGGCGATTCTAATAATTTTACCCGGTTAAAACCGAACCACCATCATTTTTTCGGTTATCTCGGTTAACTGACTAACTAACCAATAACCGACTGATCGGTTATTGATTAACCGAGGCATTGGCGTCAGTCGGTGTTCGGTAGGGGGAGATGGTGGTTATGGTCGATTACCGGTTAACCGAACCGAATCCACCCCTAATAACCCTTCTTCATATCTACAAAAATTAAATGAGCATGAAATCTCAAGTGAAGATGACCCACATGGATGAATAGTAATACATACCGTCACCAGGCATCATAGACATGTAACTTTTAAGGAGAGAGATATAGATATTTGCCGTAGGGGGGCTAAGAGAGCGATGGGACATAGGTCCTAAACTATCACAATATGGTTGGGCATGCATTAACACTGATGGGTCCATCTTTTACTCTCTTTTGGGCAGGATGACTAGCCACATCATTACGGGGAGACGATGAATGCTTCATGAGACCCTTTGTAGTGCACCTTTTTGTTTAATGTTGTCAGAACCGAATCGGAGTATGACCCGATAATCTGAACGGCTCGCACTTTAATGGTCTAACCGTTATTAAGTCGTTTTTTTTTCCAGATGAATTATCTCTCGACTCTCGACTCTAATCTCCATTTCTTCGCGAAGAAACACTCAATAGCACAATTGCTGAGATTCAACAACCATTAGCCTTGGAGTACTGAGAGGTCAAGTTAGAGCGTGTTTTTAGCAAAGCTAACGATGTAGCTTACTACCTAGCCTCTCTTGGTCATTCACTACCTACAAGTCCTCATGTTTCCAGGCACTGATGAACAGTATGCTATGCTACAACGCTTACCAGTTACCACCGGAGAGAGATTGAGCACACTCATAGAAGAGAGAAGAGGCAAAGAGCTAAACTGATGATGCGTGTCAATGTCACAACAAGCCCTACAGTCAGTAATGCACCATCAAGCGATCGAGCTGACAAATGCTGGCCCCAGCAGCAACAGTAACAAGCAAATTAAAGCCCCCCAAAGGGGTTGTCAATTACCCCTCATATTTCCAGAGATAGATGATCTCTGCCCTCTCCGAAACACGCTCATATCGACTCAGCTGCATCAAGAACTTCAGAACCACGTCGCAGTTCAATTCGCTTCTAGGCTCGATGTGAATCTTGCGCAGCAGTGGGGCAGTAGCTAGTACAAACCTTACCAGGTCCAGCTCAACCTGCATCCCACGGCTTCCACGAATATTCAGCTCCTCAAGACACTGAAAGCAGCAGCCAGATCCATGCTGGTCTTTCGCTTTCAACAACTTGTCCAAGCTGTCAATAAGCTTTGATGTCGGATGGTAATCGAGGGTATCCAGCTGGAGAAAAAAGGATTTTATCAAGGGAAAATGAAGTCAAGCACAACTATTTATTTACATAATAATAACAGTTGTACGTGTACATGTTTGAAACCAACCTGAATGCTGAGCGTCTGCAAGTTGGGGGAACTCATGATTAGACAAACAAGAACACGAGCCTCCGGCCACCTATATAATAAAAGGTATATTTGGAGGACTTTCAAGTGATGAAGATGCGTTGGAAGCTTGTAGGGGACTTGACCTGCAGCAAGGAACTAGAAAGAAAGCAGAACACATCGGCATAATATGAATATTCCTGACTTTGAGAACACAATTTAGCACACCTATTTTTGCATAATAAAAGAAACAAAAACTTACAAGCAGAAATCCAGTTCCAATAGTTAACTCCCGTAGCGCAGGGAGAGAAGTAAACACATCATCGACCATGTCCAGTTCATACTGCTGAAACAGGGTAAACCTGTAATCACTAAACTCGTCGGCATCCAGAATCGACACGACCGATAGAAGAGGAGCATACTTGAAGCAAATTCTGTACAGAGTCGACTGAATGGAAAGCAATTTGAGCGAAGGAGACAGAATCTCCGTGTTGACGAACTGGTCACAGTGCACAAGTCTCAATTGTTCAAGCAACGGGCACTTGGGAAGGAAATGGGTGAAGAAATCAGATGGCAGGTACACGTGATTCAGTGCGAGACGAGTGAGATTACTAAACCCGACGAACCAAGACGGCGCCTTCAACGTGCAACCCTGTAGTTTCAGGTAAACCAACTCACGAGCAGCAAACAGGGAGGACGAGACGTCGCAGTTGAGATACGGGTAGCCGTCCATCTCGTCGCCGAAGCGGAGGACGAATTCCTTGACGCATTTTTTGGATAGGTGGAGAATCAGGTGATCGATGTCGTGGATGGGTCTCAATCCCGGGATCGCGAGGACGACTCTCGTGATCGGCCCGTCGTGGGTCAGCAGGGCTTTGTAAATCCTCAGGACTACTCTGTTCGCGTTGTGCTCGTAGCTTCCAACTCCGGGGACGCGGGCGAAATCGGCGTCGAAATTGAGTTGAGGAATGCCTTTCCACTGGTGCCTCCAATGTGTCGACAGTGTCGCCGCTTTGGCTGCGTCTTTGACGGGGAGGAAGAGGAGGATGCGCTCGATCACGTTGGGAGGGAGGTCGCTGGTTCTATCTGCAATCGACAGGCGAAGCCACTTCATCTGAAGTGTAAATTTAGCGACTTCTTGGTCGTCGATTTTTGTAGCGAGAGAGAATGCTGGTTTTGTGGGGGGGAAAGATGAGGAAGAACCCTAACCCTAATTCTCTGTTCTTCGCAGCGAGACTTGATGTTTTTCTCCATGCGAGTGACACTCCGCCTCTTTTTTTTATCAATTATAATAAGGTGACTGGGCACGTGCAGATTTAATTTTTTGTCCTAGTCACGTGCTGAATTGATACGTAGCATGCAAATAGCAGTTTCAAACTCTCGGGCCGCTTCATCGGGTCAATAACACATGGAAACAACAACCACACCCGAGTTGTGGATGAAGTGATAGAACTATGCAACACATTTTATTGAAAGATTACCCATAGTCGTCAAAGCAACAGGATGACCCATTGTATTGCTTGTCGAATCCTTTCTTTATTTCTTGCATGAACCAGAAAACTGAATCGTATCGGCTGGTTCAACCGGAAAAACCAGAAAACCGGAGCATAAACGGGTCGATAGGCTATTAGTAGCTTTTTTACTGTACCGCGATCGGTTTTTCCGACTGAACCGGTCGGGATCGAAATATAGCCCGATTTTGTTCTAATTGGCGGTAGGGCTATTTCCAATGAAATGACGCCGCTTTGATGCAACTAAAATTTAAAAAAAAAAAAACGGCGTCCAAACAACAAATGCCCAACCCCTAATCCCTAATCGAACAATGGAATCACTGTTTTTCTTCCCCGGACACTTTCACACCCTGCCCGTCGTTCCTCTTCTCCTCTAGCGAGTGGCGACCGACAAAAGAAATGAGTCTCTGCCGCGCCGATCCCCTGCTCAAGTCTCTCTCCCCTGTCGAGAGTCAATCCCCCTGCTTGTCTCTCCGCCGCGTCGATCCCTTGCTCCAATCTCCCTCCCCTGCCGAGTCTCACTCCTGCATGGAACATTTGACACCAGAGGTTGGTGAGTACGAACGGGTTCACAAGGCATATTTTTCTCGTTCGGATTTGTCATATTTTAGCTCTCCATTTCTGTCATTTTTCAGCTGGAAATAGATCTTAGTCTATGAAACAGTGGATCATTCGTTCAAACTTTTTTGTCCCATGTTCACCTAGCTAGTTCAGGCCTTGTTTCCTTCATTAGTCTCTTCACCCTTCCCCAGTTTTGTAGAAAATGAAGATCTTTGGTGTATATAATTTCTCATTGATGGGTTTGTAAGTTTTCAGGTATGCCTATTTACTTTATGGCAGGCTTTTAATCCGGTGTATTCTGGTTTTATTACGGTATTATTCCGAAATGGTATACTAAAACTGTCGGTACAGGTTTTTTAACAACATAATATTATTTAATTACAAAATCGATATTTTACCGGTATACAACGGTTGAACCACGGTGGTACCACAAAATAACCCTACCACAGACAAATTCGGTATGACTTCCGGTACAGTTTCATGAACCATGATTTCTTGCAACCTCTCCTCCTGGCCCCAAAGAAGTGGTCAATTTAGTACAATCTTTTAGTTAATTTTTTTTTAATGAAGGATTACGAGTTCAGTACTTCAGTTATATATGCGATAGAAATGCCAAAGTACTCTTAACTCCTAGTAAAATTTACTTGGAGTATGTTAGAGTAGATGCCTAACGTTGATAAAAAAAAAGGGCCGAATCCAGGTTGAAACCCTTAGACATGCATATATTTTAGGAGATTTGTAGAGTTTATTTGTTTTGCAAATTTCATTTTGTTTTAAGATGAACAATGAAATTGTTTATAGTTTTAGTTTAGGGCCATAATAGTAGAGTCCCATACTCCCATTCATGACAAAGATGATCTAAATTTTTTTATTGACAAATGACAGTAGTTTATCATGGGATTTGGGCCTCTTTATTTTTTTGGCGCATTATTCATGCTTTTATATTAAAAAATGGGACAGTGGACAAGTGAAGTTAGCAGCAGGTAGAGGTTGCAAGTTGTAAGGAGTTAAAATTAAATTTCAGAAGTTAAAATATATCAAAATGGATGTCATTGTGTAGATTATGATCAATGCAACATATTTTTACAGACTAATTGAGAATCCAAATTTAATTCCATAAAATATAGTCAATACAAATTATTAGGGGGAAAAAGTCTGAATTTTCATTTACGTGAATAACTTACACTCTTACGTGAATAAACATAGTATTACGTGAATACACACAAAATGGCGTGAATGAGTACAAAAATACGTGAATAAATTGACATTAGGTGTTTTGTCACCTAACGTGACAAGAGATGTTTTCCATTTGATTTTATTAGCAACAAGGATTATCTCGAATGAGGCCCGGATCCCAGAAAGAAGATCTTGTTTGGCTGTTCCTCGATTCTCTATGATTGAGATAATAAAACGATATAGAGGACGTCGTAATTTTACTGTTGGTTTGTTTTCCCTATGTGGAAATTTGAATTTTATATTAGGCAGACAATTAGGTCACGAAACCCGCTGCCTGCGTCATTTATAAAATATTAGTCTTTCATAATTCAGCCATCCATCTTTATAAAATTATTGGCCAGTCGTTTTTAGAAATATTCATGTGCGATAGTAGTGATGAGTCATAAATTTAAATGAGCAGGTTACAAAACTTACATGTACTATATTTCTCAAAATCGTTACAAAATTTACTTGTAATTACAAAATTTACTTGTAATTTTACATTATTTTTACTGTTGTGAGGGACTGTAACCTCCCTGCAATCAACACGACTTTCGCTTTTAGCTCAAAGTTTTTTTTTTTTTTTTTTGCACAGAATGTACGAGTTCTTCGTGATCTATTGTCATCAACAAATTTCCGGAAAGAAAATTTCACGACAAAATATACCACCCTATATCCCTTGCAGGTAGCATGGTAAACGGTGGTAGATAGTGGTGAAAGGTCGCAGATGGTGATTAATATATTCCTACTATTATGTGTATCATCACTCTATATTATGATATATTTATATATACTATATTATTGTACGCTTCCATACCATCATATGGTAAAATTTTATGCACTATTATGTATATCATGATCACCCTATATTCCTTGCAGGTAAAGAATGGTTTTTTTTTTTACAAAAGATAATCATATATAGATTCTCAAAGAGAAAGTTACACCTTAGAGTTCAGTCAGGCCTGGAAATCAAAGAAACGACACTTAGTCGGATACAAAGAAAGGGCCTTTCTAGCCACCAAATGGGCTACCCTATTACTAAGCCGACCTACAAATCGAACACACCAACCCGCATGGAAGGCAATGCATTGCATAACTTCTTCAAGAATGGCCCCGTCCGGCCATCACTGGTATCCGCACGATTCATCTTATCAATTATCACCTTGGCATCCCCTTCAAAACGAACGTCCATAAATCCGTGAGTCAGACACCATACCATAGCCTCCCGGAGAACCAATAATTCAACCACCATGGGATCATCCATCACAGGAAAATGAACTCCATTAGCCATCAGGACATCCCCCGTCGGGATCAGAAGTACCATCCCGCCAGCCGAATGAGAAGCTCTTCTAGTAGCCCCATCCCACTTACAAACAACCATACTAGCCCCACCGTACCTCATTGTTGAGGCCCGATAATCGAGACCGTAGATGTCCGTTCGAGCGGCAAGCGAACCCACTCCTCAAACTGCTTATTAAACTGGCGTATCAAGACATGAATCACAAACTGTTTACCCTCAAACACAACCCAGTTACGAGACCTTCCAGATACGCCAGAGAATAGCAACTACGGCCATAAACAAAGGAGGGTGTTGCATCAAGGTCATCAATCTCTTAAAAAAGAGCGGAAACGTATGACGAGGCAACCCCTCCCCCAGATACTCCAGACCCGAGTAATCCCATAGGTTGCGTGCCACCGGGCAATACAGAAACAAGTGCTCCAGAGTTTCAGACTCCGCCCAACAAACCGGACATCGCGTAAGTACAAGAACATCCTTCTCAATGAGGGCCTCCGTAGTGGGAAGGATCCGGTTGAAAATTTGCCACACAAACACCTTCATCTTAGGAGGAATATTAGCATCCCATAGCCGAATCCAACTGGGCTTATCCATCCAGCTAACCGTGGACCTCCAACGACCCCCCCTGCTTGTCAAGTGAGACAGCTAAATGATAGGCCGATTTAACAGAGAATACCCCATCCAGCGTGCCATGCCATATCAACCGATCCTCCACATTTCGACAAGGGAGATGAATAGTTTTAATGGCATGACAGGTAGCTGGGTCAAACCACTGGCTAAACTTGGCGTCACACCAACGCCCTTCTCCTGGACAAAGCACCTCAGCTACTGGAGGGTCACCTCCCTCCGGTAAGACCTGGGGATTGTACACATGAAGGCGGGGCTGTAAGTGAGGAACCCAGTTAGAATAAAGCAGGGAGGCAGTCTGGTCATTCCCAATTTGCCACCTGAGCCCCTTTTCCAGCAACTGTCTACCGTAAAGGATACTTTGCCACCCCCAGGACGGGCGAGAGCGAGCCGATGCTTTGAGGAACGTCCCAGCCGGAAAATACTTCCCTTTGTTGACCTGAACTAAAAGCGATTGAGGCTCAGTAAGGATACGCCAGCCAATTTTGGCCAAAAGAGCCTGGTTAAACTGTTTAAATCGACGAACCCCATACCCCCCTCATGTTTACTCCGAAACATATTTCGCCAGGAAACCCATCGAATCCTCGAATGGCCGTCGTCAGCACCCCACAAAAAACGGGCCACATGCTTATCCAAGAGACGACACAGAGACATGGGCAGCTTGAAACAGGACATCACATGTAGAGGTAAAGCCATAGCTACTAATTTAATCAGAGTTTCCTTAGCTGCTCACGATAAAGTCCTCTACTTCCATCCCTGGAGGCGCTCGAGCAGTTTCTCCTCCAAATATCGAAAGGTAGCCATTTTAGATCGGGCAATCAGCGAAGGCAAACCTAGATACTTATCATGGACACCTACCGCCCCGACCCCTAGAACTTGAGCCAAAAATTCTTGGTCCGGCAGGGTAATATTCCTACTAAAGCGCACCGCCGATTTAGCCAAATTCACCCTTTGCCCACTAAGTTCCTCGTAATCATTTAGGACCTCAATTAAATTCTCACACTCCTGGAGAGAACCCCGCAATAATAGATAAGAGTCATCAGCAAAAAACAGATGCGAGATCCTAGGCGCTCGAGGAGCCACTTTAACTCCTTCCAGCTTTTTCTCCGTAATAGCTTTGCGAAGGAGTGCCGCAAACCCTCTGTGCAGGTATAGAATGGTAGATGGTGGTAGATAGTGATAAAAAAATGGTAGATATATATTTGAAAAAAAAAAATCACTACAGAACCATATCGTATTTGTGCCCATAAAGTTCAGACCCCACACATTCCACAAAATTTTAGAAATCGGAAGTCTATAAATGGAGACATATAATGTACTCTACTCTCTCTACACAAGCTTAACTCCTCAAGCTAATCGAATCATCCTCCCAAAAAGTCCAGCCACTATTTACACAAGAAGAAGAAGAAAGCTATATATATATATATAGTCATGGACACCAACATGAGCGAGCTCCTCCAAGCCCAGAGCCACGTATGGCACCACACCTTCAACTTCGTCACCTCCATGTCGATAAAATGCGCCATCCAGCTGGGCCTGCCGGAAGCCGTCCAGGCCCACAGCGGGCCCATCTCCCTCCCGGACCTCATCTCCTCCATGGGCCTCCCTCCGGCCAAAGCCCCATACCTCCGCCGCCTGCTCCGCCTCGTGGCCAACTCCGGCTTCCTCTCCCTCCACAAACAGAACGACGACGACGTTGAACGATACTCCCTCACTCCCGCCGGCCGCCTCCTCCTCCGCGACAACCCCTTCAACGCCGGCGCGCTCCTCCTCCTGGTCCTCGACCCGGTCCTCGTCGAGCCGTTCCACCACATGAGCGCGTGGTTTCGGAGCGAGGAGGGAGATGGCGACGTCGTCGATACGACGCCGTTTTCAACGTCCCGCGGCGGCGGCAAGATGGTGTGGGAGTACGTGGCGACGGATCCGGAGTTTTCGAATCTGTTCAACGACGCCATGGCGAGGGACAGCGGCTTGATTGCTGAGCTGGTGGTGAAGGAAGGGAAAGCGGCGTTCGAAGGGGTGGGGTCCCTTGTCGACGTGGCGGGTGGGACCGGGACCATGGCAAAGGCGATTGCTGAGGTGTTCCACGAGATGACGTGTACTGTGCTGGATCTGCCGCACGTGGTGTCCGGGCTCGTAGACGGCGGTAACGTGAAGTATGTTGCCGGCGACATGTTTGAGTCCATCCCCGCTGCCGATGCCGTGTTGCTTAAGGTATTTATGTCCATGGCCGTCGTCCAATTAATCATGGAGGGACTGTTTTTTTTTTTTTTCCAAACTCCAAAGAATTTACTTTATGCCTAGGTTACCTTTCAGTTTTTTTTTCGAAACCAAAAAATGGGTTCAAGAATTAAGATATAATTCAAATGGATTTTTAAGTAGAGCGCCCTTTTAAGTATAACAAGATCAAAACGAACGTGACATCGTTATTTAAAATGTAATATCTTTCGAGTATTTGATCGAAATAGAATTATTTATTAGCTCTCCAATTTTAGTCTCCACGAAATAATTTTCAGTAGTAATTGTCATAACTAATCAGTTAAGATTTCTTGTGTGCTCTTTTTAAACAAACAAGACTTGATGTTACTCCCAAACACGACGATAACACGTGCCTCATGTATATATACATGGGAATATTATCCAATGATTAGGACTATAGTAATTGATATATGAAAGTCATTATGAAACTCATAATTAATAAATCATATATCATTACATCGCAAATACATACGTATAATATACAATCATGTTAACTAATTGATCAAGGTGGAGGCCACTAATATTCAAAAGGCTTTGTGTCGAAGAGCCTCCCGGCACACCTCGTAGCCGCCCTATGCTTCTTTAGAATTATGATTCGAGAACTAATTGCCTTGCTCTTGGGATGTTTGAACATGGAAAAAAAAAAACAGTGGATTATGCACGACTGGAGCGACGAGAACTGCGTGAAGATTCTGAGGAAGTGCAGGACGGCGGTGACGAGTGACGGGAAAGCTGGGCAGGTGATAATCATAGACATGGTGGTTGGGAACCAAAGTTTGGACGAGAAGTTGGTGGGAATACAGTATGCATTCGACATGGAAATGATGGTTTGCATATCTGGGAAAGAGAGGAACGAGGAAGAGTGGGCGAAGCTCTTCCTTGATGCTGGATTCAGTAATTACCATATCAATCCGATTCTTGGCACACGGGCTCTCATCCAGGTTTATCCTTGAGGGAGAAGTTCAATTATGGTCATGTTGCCAATTAAGATTTTGTTTTTTTGTATTTCGTGGGAATAAATGTTGGTTTGTGGGCATAATGTTTATGTTGGCTAAGTTAATTGTCGCAACATCGACAAAAAAAATATCTGGTGTATGATGAAGGTTTTTGTCAGGTTCAAGTCAGCAAAAAAAAAAAAAAAAAAAAAAAAAATTGGTTTAAGGATTGAGATAAGGGGAGTCAAGTAGGAATTATAAATAAACACAATTGATGCAGGTGACCCATTCCCTCCCCTTCCATGTTAATCTTAATAATGTTATATACTTACGTGGATTTTAATTTTTTCTTGGTAAAATTTAGGTACAGTGTTGGTAGAAGTATTTTTCTCAAATATTTTTTGAATCAAATTTGCCCTCGTACTCTAGCCTCTATGCGCACTACCAATCTTGTCCTTCTGTTACAAGTTTCATTAAAATCCTATTATATATACAGTCGAACCATGTTTCGGACAATCGGAAATGTCAAATTTATTTACCCCTTCGTATGTCATATCTTATTCGCCTGCAACTCCCAACAGTCAGCAGCCAGAATCCCATTCTCAATCCGCCCCCACTTTCTCTTTCTCCGATCCTACAAAAATGAAAGACAAAAGGAATGAGAAGGACCCTGGGGCACTGAGGTTGGATTAAACACGCAAAATCTTTCGTCTATCATAAAAGAAGCTCGAAGACCGACATTTGAAGTCCAACCAAAACATGGAAGTCCCAATTTATTGAGTAATTGAACTAAATCATCAACGATTAGAACCCGTATTTTTCGATAATATCCATATTTCAAAGTATACGAACCCCAATTGAAATGATCGAAAAGAGTGGGAAACCATATTCGGAAGGTAAAAGAATTGCCCATTAATCAATTCGGTCCTTAATCAATTGAGCGAAAACAAAGACAGAGATAAAATAATAATAAAAACTCATAGTTTTCCGATTAAAGTGTGAATCAGTTCGTCTAAACTAGGGATGGCAATGGGTCGGGTCGGGGACGGATAGTGCATATCCGTTACCCTACCCGAAGTAGTTCGGGTTTTACCCATACCCATACCCACATGTGAAACGGGTACAAAAATAAAATCATGCCCATGCCCGTTCGGGTTTCGGGTATCCACGGTTATTCATGGATAATAATTTCTCTTTATAACTCCAACCAATATGTTAACATTCACACGTATTCTCACATTACATAAGAGGAAAAGTACGACAATAGTTCACTAGAATGAAGAAAATTAACTAAAACAACACAATTTTATGAAAATATTATATTTATATGCTAAATATAAAATATGTTAGGGAAAAATAATAATTATTTCTAGAGAAAATACACATGCATGCGTATAATCGGGCGGGTTCGGGTTGGATAGTTAGAAACCCATGCCCACCCATTACCCGCAATATTCGGGTTTGGGTTTTACCCGTACCCACTAAATGTCCTTCGGGTTCGGGTTTTACTCTACCCGATTAGGCCGGGTTCGGGTGGATATCCACCGTTACGGATATTTTTGCCATCCCTAGTCTAAACCGGTCGAATTACAATTATACTTTATTGCATTCAATTCGGTCTAGTTATCAGTCACGACGACGTTATGAAAAACTGATTAAAACGGCCCATAACATAATCCCGAGTCGCTTACAAAACGCGTGCCAAAAGGGATAAATGACCATGCTAGCAAGATAATTAATCAGCTGCAAAAAGTCATAACAACAACACATAATTTTTTAAGTGCGTTGCTTCATTTTTCCGCCATTGCAGAAATCAGAAGAAAAGTCAACTAAGAGCAGGTAAACCAGTAAACCACTCTGCCGAACGCCGATCGCCTGCTCTGCTCGCCTACTTTTATAGCACAATTCCATTCCTTGTGTCCTCCTGCAATTCAAACCACCCTTCTAGTTTGGCTTTGCTTCCCCGTTTCCCCCTTTTCCCCCTCTCGCCATGTCCACTCAGAGCAACACCAGCAGCAGATACTTGACCCACGAACTCGTAATCCAGATCTTGCTGAGGCTGCCCACCGCGTCTTCTCTCGCCCGATTCCGCTGCGTCTCCAAATCATGGCGCTCCCTCCTCTCCGATCCCGAATTCATCCGCAATTTCCTCTTCCACCACAGTTCCAAGGGCGGGAACCACCTCAGGATCATGATCAAGCGCCTCTGCTACGATCGGTCGGTTTACTCCCTCCACCGCTTCGACACGCTCCGCCACATCTCCACTGCCGCCGTCGAGGAGGAGGAAGAATTTCCCACCGTTCCCTACAAGGTTCGTTGGCCCAACGGTTCTTCACAATTGGACATTGTCGGCCACGCTAACGGGATCTTCTGCATAGCGGATGGAAACAGCGACGGTGCCTCAGATATCATACTGTGGAATCCGGAGACCTCGGAGACGAGAGTTGTGCCTGTTTCACCCTTTGCTCATATGAGCGGGTTTGTTGTCTGGGGTCAGCAAGAGCAGATTGGGTTTGGTTTCGATTCCGAATCGAATGACTACAAAGTCGTTCGAACTCTGCAGTTCACTCAGGGCGGTAATGATAATGATGATGATGACGACGATGGTGATGGTGACGATGGTGATGGTAATTATTCACAGGACGAGGAGGATGAGGTGGAAGAGGACGAGTCGTCGCTGGAATTGAGTGAGGTCTTCAGCCTAAGGCATGGTTCGTGGAGGAAACTCGAAGTTGGGTTCACGCCTGGGCTGCTCTACAGCATTCCTGAGTGTCATGAAGGAAGATTCTACTGGTGGGATGAAGGCCCCGACGGCTGCTCGACTTTCGTTTCCTTTGATATCAGAAGTGAAGTGTTTGAGACCGTGGAAGTGGCCAATCCGGTGGGAATGTCGTCGGACTTCTCCATCCGATCCGTCTCCATGGTGAAAGGATCGGTCGTGGCTGTATTTTCTGATATGGAGACAGTTGATGAACCCAATTCGTTGGAGGTATGGGCGCTGTTAAACTTTGCAGGAGAAGGATGGATCAAGTTGTACAGCATTGCGAGCACTCTACTGATGAATTGCGTCCATCCGGTGGGGATATGGAGAAACGGGAGGTGTTTCCTGCAGAGGTATGAAGATGGAGAGCTCATCGTCTTTGATCCCGAAATCGGAAGTATTGTTACTACTGATGTTCAGCTTCAGGGAGAATGGCAGTTTTTTCAAATCGTTCCTTATGCTCCATCTCGAATTTCGCTGTCGGAGTTGGCCTGAGCTGAGATGCACCTTCTTCTGACTGGCAGTCTTTTTCCTCTTTCTGTACTCTCCCACTCTCATGTTGTTGAATAAGAAAGAACGATGTAGAAGAGGTTTTCAAGTATAATAACAGACTGAAATGGCATGGCACAAAGGAAATTTAGTAGCTTAAAGCCAACATTGGCCAATGCATGAAAGAATCAACTAGAGTTGCTACTTGCTAGTCTACGAGACAAAAAAACAAGGAAAACAACATAAAGGAAGTTCAGTCGCTTAAAGCCTCCAGAAAAGCGTTCAAGATCATGATTCCAGAGAATACGACCTCTGCTTCGACTCTCATACAATCACAGTACTGTGTCACCTCTTTCCAGAACTCTGGACGATTCCTGCAGCTCAAATAAGGTGAAGCCCATCGATGACAATCCTGCGAAGTAGTGGGGCATTGGCTAGCACAAGCCTCACCAGGTCCAGCTCCACCTGTGAGCCATGGCTTCCGTCAATGATCAACTCCTCAAGACGCTGAAAGCAACAACCGGTCGATCCAGTAAGTTCCCCTGCTTCCAACAAACTACCCAGGATGTCGATCACATTTTCAAGTTGGGAGAGCTCATGATCAGGCAAAGGAGAACACGTGCCTCGCGCAAGCTATGCAATTCTATGTTATCCATTTCCAGGACTTCCAAGTGCTGAAGAGGAGTAGGAAGCCTTTTGGGAACATGGTCACCTGCAGCAAGTAACTAGAGTGGAGAAGAGCACCAAAATACATGAGTATTGAGCAGATGGAGAGAAACAAAACAATGCCGAGTAGGGGAGGAGTATAGCTAGACGTAGTTGCAGGAATTCAATGCCAAGTTTCAGCTCTTGGAGTGCAGGGAGGGAAGCAAATACATCGACTATATCAACACTGTCTTGCTGATCATCGTACAACTTATTGGACAAGTAATCTCTTTCGTCTAGAATGGATACCAGCGAAAGAAGCGGGGTATACTTGAACCAAATGCTCCGCAAGATGACCCGAAAACACAGCACTTTGAGACGAGGAGCATCGATTCCAAGAGGAGCGCCTAACCCACAACAATCTATTATCCTCAAATCTTCTAGCAGCGGGCACTTGGTAACAAAATCAACGAAGAAATCCTCGTCCAACATTATGTTATTCAGTTCGAGATGGGTGAGCTTGTTGAAGCCCACAAACCCAGGAGGTGGTCTAAATTCACAGCTGTGCAGTTTCAGGGTACTGAGTTCAATAGCAGCAAACAAGGAAGGGAAATTCCTGAGGTCATAAACATACCGCCCTGATTCATCGAGTATTCGAAGCGTGAAATCCCGGAGCACTTTGTTGTTGGCAAGGTAAAGAATGAAGTGATCGATCTCGTCACATGGTATTAATCCAGGGATTGCAAGCACAACCTTGGTCGTGGGATTGCTGTTATGAAGAAGCACGGCTTCGTGAATCTTGTTCATCAGGTTATGCACATTTGATTCGTATTCGGACCAATGGGTTCGAGCAAAATCAGCATCGAATACAACTTGAGGAACATTTCTCCAGCAGTATTACCTCCATTGCGTTGACAATGTAGCCGCTTTCGCTGCGTCTTTTAGGGGCAAGAACGCGACAATGTGATCTGCCAAGACCGCAGGGAGATCGCTGATTCTGTCAGTACTGCATGAATCGCTGAGACCCTTCATCCTGCACCAGAATTATGAACCAAAACGAGCAATTCATTACTTGATCAGAGAGACAAAACTAGTTATCAGCAAGTTCATCGGAGGTCACAGAACAAGAAAGAAAATAGAAATGATGAATGAGGAAGCTGCAGACATGTGAACGGAACTGTCTGTGTGATAAAAAAAAAATGGCAGAATATTGTTTATTGTTGATATGATTCCGATTTTCTCTGTTATGATCTTTTCCGTTCTTTGTATCGTTTCTGATACTCCTGCTAACTTATTGTGGTTATTCTTGCTATACTAACTTCCTTTGTTATAGTGATGTAGCGGGGTTTTATTTTTAACATAAACAAAGAAAATCCTTGTCATGGAAACCAGACAGGTCTTTCCAGCCGGTCAGTAGAACCGCCATCTGACTGATGTAGTGGGTCGATTCGTCTACCAGCGAACCATGCGGTTTGTTAGAACCGTCGAAACCGATTCGGTCCAAGTGATTCAATAGTTCAAGACCAGAAACCTCAAACATTAGAGCTCTGGGAACTTAGCAGGAACAAGAAACTGATTACTATATGGAATGTTATAGCCACTATTCAGCACTTCGAAAGCTACTTAAGGTAGGAACCATTTGCGAAACAGTCAGACATGCAATCACGTAGAACATAACTCCAACTTAACTTCGACCCTCGCTAACTAAATCTAGTAGCCTCCTTTCCCCTTCTTGGCCCTACTATTACAGAACCAAAAATTGTTTGCTGAGAAGGGCTGAAGGGCAGAGTGAGACCGTATGCTTGATCAGGACGCCTCTCCTTGATCATAATCAAAACAGTTTCAGACCAGCTCCTCCACTCCTGTTTTTCTTTCTCATCTGAATTGTACTAACAACTAGGCAGTTACTAAAAGCTTTGGGAAGCCATCTTCTATGTTCTCGTACTCACCATTCCAAGAATACAGTAACTTTGCCTTCTTGGAACCCCATTTACAGTACGAGACTCCCGTCATGAACTTGTGAGATTCATCGAAATTCATAGTCTTCGAAGTCGTAATAACAATCTCGTGAAGTAGTGGGGCACTGGCTAGCACAAGATTCACTAAGTCCAGCTCGACTTGTGATCCATGGATTCCATTTAAGGAAAACTCTTCCAGACTCTGAAAACAACCCCCGGATCCTTGAAGGTCCTTTGCTTCCAACAGACTCCTCAGGCTGTCAATCACATTTTCCTGGGGAATTCGTTCTCCATCATCAATCTACAAGAGGCATTTGTCAAAGAACAATCTCAGTGTACATACGCAATAGCGGAATATTTCAGTTCATCACAACAACAAAACGAGACTAACTAACCTGAATGGTGAGTGTTTTCAAGTTGGGGGAACTCATGATCAGGCAAACGAGAACACGTGCCTCGGGCAAACTATGCAATACCAGATTATCCATTTCCAGGACTTCCAAGTGTTGAAGAGGAGTAGGAAGCCTCTTCGGGACATGATTGCCTGCAGCAAGTAACTGGAATACAGAACACCAAACACACAAGCATTCAGAAATAGAAACAACACAATTCCAAGTCAGAGAAGAGAACAGAAAAACTTACCCGCAGGAACTCAATGCCAATTCTCAACTGTTGAAGTGCAGGAATGGAAGAAACAAATACATCGACTATATTAATACTGTCCTGCTGAAAGCTGTACATTCTATTGGACAAGTAGTCAGGGTAATCTTGAATGGACACCAGCGAAAGAACCGGTGTATATTTGAAGCGAATGGTCCACAAGATAATGCGTAAACAAAGCACTTTGAGACGAGGGGCCTCAATGTCAGGGCTATCTCTAAAACCCAGACAATCTATCATCCTCAATTCTTCAAGCAACGGGCACTTGCGAAGGAAACCAACAAAGAAATCTTCATCCACTATCACATTTACCAATTCGAGACAGGTGAGCTTGCTAAATCCCAGAAACCCAGAAGGCGATAACAATTCGCAATTTTCCAGCTTCAGGGTATTGAGTTCAAGAGCAGCAAAGAGGGAAGCAAAGTTCCTGGTCTCGTACACATAATCGAATCTATCAAATTCATCGAGAATCCGAAGGGTGATGTCCTGGATGCCTTTGTTGGCAAGGTAAAGAATCAAGTGATCGATCTCGTCGCCAGGCTTCAATCCAGGAACCGCAAGCACAAACTTGGTTGAAGGCTCATAGTTGTGGAGAAGCACGGCTTTGTAAATCTTCATCACCAGAGCATTCACATTCGATGCAGTTTCGGCCCAACGGGTTCGGGCAAAATCAGCATCGAACACAAGTTGAGGCAGATTCCTCCAACGATACCTCCATTGCCTTGACCAGGTAGCCGTTTTTGCTGCTTCTTTTAAGGGCAACAGCATGAGGATTCGCTCGGCCAAGTAAGCAGGAAGGTTGCTAATCCTGTCGTTGCTACTACTAGACTCGCAAATAGGGTTCATTCTGTACGGGGGGAAATCCGAGCAAGTAAAGTTGATCACAGTCACAACTAGTCCATCAACAGTCGAGATTAACGGATAATTACGAGAAAGCAATCGAGGAGAGAAGGTTTCGGACCTGTAAGGATGAACTAATCTCCGTAACTTCCGGAGAGGGATTTCAGGAAGTGCGCGCGGCGGAGGTTGGCGGTGAACGGAGGCTCCACGGGCGGCAGACGGAGCTGCGCAGGGCGACAATAGCTCTGGCAAATCGGCGGTCGAAACGGGCAGCGGTATGAGAGGCTCGCGAAGGCAACGGCGGTGGAAATTTTCAGGCCAGCGACAAACTAGGACTGACGGGGTTTGAGTGGATGACACAAATGACCTCTAAGCAATTTATTAGGCAGATTCTGTGAAAGCTGAATTAAGGGGTAAATTGAAAGTTTGGTCACTAAAATTATCATTTTTGTTTCATGTTTGTCACTAAATTTTTTTAATTACAATGGTAGTAACTAACTTTACATTTTCATTTTATTAATGGCTAATCTTCCATTATCTTTATTCTATACTATAGGACAGTTAACTGTTGGAGTCGTCACGCAATGCATTGTCACAATGTCATTTGACACGCTAATCGAAAGTGAGCTTGCTGGAGTGCTGGTCTTCGAAGAAGAGGATAGTATTTGCAGAGTGCATCGTGCGTGGAGGTGACGATAAGGAGGAGGAGGAATATGAAAGCACAGAACAAAGACATTGTGGTTGCTCCGGTTGAGGAAAGACCAACGACGAAGATTTGGTTATTGCTCCTTTTTAGCTTTTTGACTCTTTTCAATGGTTATTGGAAGGCATTTGGAACTAGATTTTAGTATTCTAGCTCCTTGAAGGGGATATCCCTGCAGCAAGGAACTAGAGACAACCAACCAAACAAACAAACCCTGACTAAAGAGCCGAGGAAATCCAGGCTTAGAAATGAAACAATATAACAAAATAATAGACAACTTCATACTTTTAGGAACTCAAAGCTGACATATACGACTGCTGGAGCGCTGCCAGAGAAGCAAATACAGCAATCATGTCTCTAGCCTTGTTGAATTCATTCAATTTGAAATCACCAGACTGCAACTGAATCGAAACAACCGAAAGAAGCGGAGTTCGCGAGAAGCTGATGTCCTCTACATACCCGCGGTTATAAAGAAACACTCTTAGAGGACGAACTTGGTTATCGGCCCATCATGAACCAGCAAAGCTTTGGAGATGTTCATCATCAACTGCACTTATGAGCCACACTTATGTGACGCAATTACAGCAACACAATTAACATTGCCAAATAATCACCATAAGAAAACTTTAATCTCTATCGATAAGATTTGTATCATAGGTCTACAGATTAACACTTTGCAGCAGCAGCATTAAAATCTTCCTTTTGGACACCATGTCGAAACTTCCAGTAATGCAGCATCCGGTTCATCATAAACTTTGCTCCTTGTACTAGCACAAGCTTGCTGCAACTTTATATCTCTGGGAACTTCAAAGGACGACAAAACTAGTCCTATCACTACAATAATTGAATTTGCTCCTAAATTACTGCTGCCCCTATGTTAAAGAACTGAAGATCTTCACATCTATACAAGCCTTAAATAAAACTTGGGAGTAATCATTAATCAATGGAAAGAAATTGCAAACAGTCTGTGCTAAGTAACTAAAGCCTAAGACTATACAACTGAAGGTCTTCCGACCACCGTGGCAGTGGGCATGACAAGTAACTAAAACCTATACACAGAAGTGCAGAGCTCTTGTGATCCAAAACAACGTATCAGGAATATATCACCTCTGCCTGGGTTGAAGCGCGCTTATATCGTACCACCTCCTCCAAAAATTTGAGACGGTCTTCGCAACCCAATTGATCTGAAGCCTTAATAACAAGCTTTTGAAGCTGATGGGAAGTTTCAAACACAAACCTAACGAGTTCCAGCTCCGGCTGTGAGCCTGGACTGTTCTGAATGTAGACCTCCCGAAGACAGCTAATTTCTGAGTCTTCTTCACAGCACTCCTTTTCAATCGACATTGGTTCACAAAAGGCTGCCCTCTCCCCAGCTTTCATCTCCATGAAAATTTCAGATCAAAAGATGAATTTAAGTCAGTGCCAAAACAAGACAAAGCAAACTCAAAACTTCACGCGGTGCAATTTCCTTTTTGAGTTATAATACCTGAAGATCGAGTCTGTGCAATCTCAAGGAACTTCTGATTAGACAAAATATTACAGACGTCTCTAGCGGACCACCATAATGACCTCTGTATATTCCAAGGACTCGTAGATGGAGGAGACTAGGAAGCTTGACAGGGACATGATCACTTGCAGCCAGGACCTACAAGGGATGATTAAAAAAACACACACAGCAGCATTATGAATTGGTAGAGAAACAAATTGGCTTTGATTGAAATAAATTGGGCCACAAAAAGGTGGGGGAAGAAGAAAAAAACTTACTTTCAAGAACTGGAAGTTAACAAGTAGCTGCTCAAGTGCTGGGAGAGAAGCAAATAAAGCTACCATATCAAGCTTCTTATCCATATTAACATCAGCTTCACCATATGGCAGGATTGACACTTCTGAAAGAATTGGAGTACACTTGAACATAATGTTCACTGGATACCCAATAAAGAGAAAGACTTTGAGACATGGGGCTACAAGCTCAATCTCAGAAGCACCAGCACAGTACCAAAGGTACAAATCTTCAAGCAGGGGACATGCTGGCAGGAAGTTATGAAAGAAATCAGGGGGCAAACTTACTGCATATAGTTGAAGAATCTTAAGGCAACTAAACCCTGCAAACCAAGACGGTGTAACAATTTTACCACCCTCCAGTATCAGTGAACTCAATTGAACAGCAGAAAACAAAGAAGAATGAATCCTGCGATCAGATGGATAATCTCCGCTCTCTTCGCCAAAGAGAAGCTCGAGTTTCTTGACGCCTTTGTTTGCAAGGTGGTGAACTATGTGGTCAATCTCATCGCAGGGGCTCAATCCAGGAATTGCAAGCACAAATTTGGCAATCGGACCATCATGAAGCAATAGCGCTTTGTAAATATCCATCAGTATCTTTTTCGCCTTTAACTTTGATCCACCTCGTTCAGTGATTCGAGCGAAACTATCATCAAACACAAGTCGCGGAATGTTCCTCCAAAGAATGCTCCATTTTCTCGACAACATGGCTGTCTTCGCCGCGTCTTTTATGGACAGGAACTTGAGAATCCGTTCTATTACATGATCAGGAAGCATGCCGAGTCTATCAGCCATGCGAAGCTGCTTCAACTGACCTATATACCAGGAAAAAAGATCAACAATGCGGAATCATCCACAGACCACAACCTAGCTAGTGATCAATAGATCTACATTACATAATGACCCAGAACACCATGGATTTATTGAACTTTTGGAAGCTAGCTAAACAATGTTCACTAATTTTGTATGTGCGACAGTAAGTCAGTATAGGTTATTGCTCATTACTTATGATGGTTTAGGGTTCGATCCATGGATAATAAAGTTTCAAACTTTATTGATTCTGAATGCCATATAGCCTATTAAACCATCAAAATATCGTATAGAAAGAGTTACCAGAACCACCCAGAGCCATGAAAATGTCCTGTATCTGAGTGCTTCTTCCGCCCCAAACAACCTCTGTACAGCGAGAACGGGAAAACCCAAGATTAAATTTCGGCCACAGAAGCTTTTTGCCTCCAATTTCACGGGACTTCCCCTGGAAACCAAGGGATAAGTAACATGATTGAGTTACAAGCAGCTGGAGAAGGGAAATAAACTATTATGAAAGAAAAAAAAATCGATTTTGAACCTTTGAGGAGAGTGAGAGAGCTACTCGGTAGCTTGGAGGCTGGAGCCTTCGACCGAATATGCCAGGGTTGTGATTACAAGTGATCGAGTATTAATCGGTGGTCGGAAAACACTTGCCGGCTAGTTGCTCGATCTGCAGTTTTCTCCGATGAGGAGAGGAACCCTAATTAACATCTCTGTTCTCGAAACATGGAAGAAGGCGGAGAAAAGGGCGGCAAAATGATAACCCACCAATTCCCGAGTCCGGGAAGGGAAAATACCAGCCCAAGTCTCTCAATACGTTGTCCTACATTAAATTGGTCACAATTTTGTTTTTTTACAAGTGGTTAAATTTCATTTCTAAACAATTGTAGTACAAGTTTGGCCTATTACAAAAGAGGAGAGATCAAATCAAGAAGATGAATCCACTCAAGAGGGAGGGAGCCGCTACTTGTTTCCTTAGCGACCCAATCGGCACATTTGTTGTTCCTGCGATGAGTAAAGGCCACACGAATATAGGCATTCTGCGCAAGAATCTGCTTTATACAGTGGATCCAGGCTTTCACTTGCCAAGGTCAGGATCTGCTCCGACCGAGTAAAATATTGATGATAACCAGGCAGTCAGAGAAGATGACAGTAGGCAAACCCGAATCCTGAGCCATTCTCATGGCAATCAACAAGGCTTTAGCTTCCGCCACAATCGATGAAGAACAAAACAAGGTCCCAGCCTTTCCGTCAATTACTTGTCCATGATGATTGCGAACGACAACACCATATGCCGCCACCTGCGATTCCGAGACAAAAGCTCCATCACAGTAAATCTCATGTTGGAGAAGGGAAGGCGGTGGATCAATTCTTGAATAGGATGGGGGAGGCTGGGGAGGAGAAGAGGTAGACGGCAGTGGGAGAAGGCCACTCCACTCATTGAAACAATCAATGGCTTTAGATAAGGTGGGGTGAAGGAGAGGACGAGTGCCACAAAAGATCCATCCGTTGCGGGCGTTCCAGATGGCCCATAAGATAGCAATCACAGCCACCACCGAACTAAAGGAGATCACGTCATTAAGATGGAAAAGCCACATGAGGATAGGGAGAGAAGGGTGGGGGAGAGGGATGCCAACGAAGCTTCTTTGCCAAATGAGCACCGTGTGTGGACAACCGAAAAAGCAATGCCACACATCTTCAATCTCCTCTTCACAGTGAGTGCAAACCGGAGAGGTGATCACCTTGCGGAACCAAAGATTCCTTTTAGTAGCCACCGCATTCCTAGTGATCCTCCAAATGAAGTTCTTAATCTTGGGAGGTAAGGACAAACTCCAAAGCCATTTCCAAGCTTTGGACGTGCAGTCTGGGTGGTTAGGATCCTCTGAACCTGTCATGTTTCTTTCGTTGGTTCTGAAAAGATGGTAAGCCGACTTGACTGAAAATGCACCTGACTTTGGTGATTTCGAAAATCGTCAATTTAATTTAATTTTACCTCATTCGTGTTTAAATTTTTTGTTTAGTTTTAAATTGGTCCCATAGTATTGGGTGCATGAAAGAAAATGAATATTTTTTTTTTTGTTATGAAACAAACAAAAAGATAAAAACACCTTCAGTGACGATGTAATTGGGTTCAATGCCGTTAATGAGATGATTAATATGATCTTTTTGTGTATACAATCGTCTGAATTTAAACAAAACTATTTGGACCTAAACAAATAGAGT